AGATCCCAACTCCATCAGCAGCAGCAACACAACAACAACAACAGACGGCATACAATTTCAGTTTTTAATTAATTGATTTTTATTCGCATTTCGGTGTTGAATTTCAGGCATGGGCGCGAGTTTGAATGTCGCAGCATACACTGGGGGAAAAACTATAGCAATTTGACATTGAATTTATATAGTTTTTAAATACAACAACTATACAATATTATTATTATATCATTATGAATTGAAATTATTATAAATATAAATTATTATATCTCAGATAATATAATAGGTAAAACTAGAATACTTGGTGACAATATTGTTAAAGATTGCTTCTATATTTTGTATATTTTTAATTATGCCACCACTTACTTAAATCAGAAATTTCCTTGTAAGAATCTTTGAAGTGAAGAATATCCAACTTTCTTAGTTGTTTTATTAATAATGCGATTTTTAAATTTCAATAATTGTTATTTATCATGTTGTTAAAACCAACTTAATGAGATATATTATGTTAAAGTTTAAAGTAAAGTAAAGAAATCATAGTAAAAATCTTTTAAAATATTCACAAGCTTAGACTAAAGGCCTACATATTTAATTACTAAGTAAATGATATATTTTTGTCTCAGTGTCCCCACTTTACCGCCCCCCCTTTTCGGCATCCCCCTTGCCACCCCCCTGGGCCAACCAATCCGTTGAGCCAGTGTCAGGCAGCAGAAAACTGAAAAACTGAACGAACGCACAAATCAGAAATTAAAAACCGAACATAAATTAACAGACAAATGATACTAAAAAAAAAAGAAAAGAAACCGAGCTGCCGAAAGAGACGGCGCATGGGATAATGAGAGAGACGGAACGAGAGCGGTAACGAGCGCGTTCGAGGCGTTCCTCCGGTTACTGCAAAATACTGAACTTGAGACGAGCGTGCGTCGCCGTACTGCCTCTTGGCCTCCTCCTGTCTCCCCCTCCCGCCCCTTTTGGCTCACCTCACCTCACCTCAGCTTACCTGGACGAGGTCGCACCTGAGGCGTGTAATTGATACGCTGAGGCAGCTGAGGTCCGTAGATTTTATCGCGCGAATTTTTAATACTCTTTTCGCAGCGACAGACAACGGCAAACCTGAATGCGATTGTCACCGATATGCGACTTGAGAAAATGAACCAAGCGAGCGTGTGAGCGGTGCTTGTGCACTTAAAAAAAATATATATATACAGAACATGGGATAATAAAATATAAAAAATAATAGAAAACTGTAGACAGAAAATACAACATGAAAGAAGGCTTCAAATTCAGGCTGAAATATTTTACTGATGAAGATAATAGAGATTTTTAATAAAAAAGCACTTCTAAAAACAAAAGTATTTACTAATTTATAAAAAATATCGACTCGCCAGTTGATGCTTTTAATAAAAAAGCACTTCTAAAAACAAAAGTATTTACTAATTTATAAAAAATATCGACTCGCCAGTTGATGCTGATCAAGAGCATAGTTCAAAGCTTATGAATAAAATTATAATACCCTGAAGGGGTATAAAAAACTATAACCAAAAACATTCTTAGAACACAAATATTTTCTTTAGCTAGAATTCCTATTTGATTTAATAGTTTTCAAGGCATTACTTCAAGTGTAAAAAAGTGCCTCTAAAAGATATATTAGAAAGAGAGGGACTGACCGAGGCTATGAGGGAGACAGCGAGTGATTAGACGGTTTGCATTTGTCAGCAAGTTGGCAGCACCGCTTAATTTGCCAACAGTATCGGGTATCGCCGGGAATATCCAGTTTGTCTAGTGCCTCTGTGATAGATGCAATATGACTGACTGACTGGCGATGATTCATCTGGCCACCGTTGTTGGTTGGGTAATTGTGGAGCGATCCGATTTGTGGCCACTGCTGCTTCCCCTGAATCTTTGAATTGGACACCGCCGCCAGCCACCGAATTTGTCAAGCAAGTGCCGGCCACATGGCGTATGAGTAATGGGGCATTCCGCGGAAGGCAGCTCTGAGAGAATATTTAAATGGTTATTAGGGGGAATCGTAAGGAATATTCTATTATTTAAATGGGTACTTAAGTATGTTATAGAAACCCAAAAAATATGTGTAAACTTTTTCGAATTCAAACCCTTTTACCTCCGCCACTGTTTCCCAAGACTTGCAGCAGCAAAAACAGAGAAGAATTCAAGTATTTCAATGTAACCTGATACCCAGTTTTGTGCCAGCCCCTCCAATGTCTTGTGTGAAATTTTTGTGTGCAACGCCTGGCAGGTCCAGAAAGATACATATGTACATATATCTGTATAAAGATATATATATCTCCCTCGGAAAGGGAATGAAAATAGGAATGCCAAAACTTCAAAAGCCGCAAAACTCTTTGTTGCATCTTGGACTTCGACTTAAATTTAAAAGGCAAAAGAAGGCACAAAACTCGAAGGAGTATTGGGTATCATCCAGTGTTGATTTAGTGGGAAAGACACTTGCAGCTCTGGCCAAAGGAAATATGCAAATGCCACCCACTCCAACTCCGACTCTGAGCCAACTTGTCCGGCCCACTTGGCCGAAATGAAGCTCTCATGGTACTGCTCCTGCTCCGGCTCCTGCACCTCCTCCTTCGAATGCCACCTGTGTGTGAACAGTGATATGTCTGTCAAAAAAGCCAGGTGTGGGTGAATGTGCGTGTGTGAGGTGTTGTGTGTTGTTTGGTTGCAATGCTTTGGCTTTTACCCATCTCAGAGCTATTGATTACACAGGGGCTGCCCTTCGTGAGCAGGCGACTTTTGATATGGTTAGATAAGGACTCGCATAATTGGTCACCTTGGGTCAGGGGTCAGCGGATAATTAGTGAAAGTTGCAGTTAATGTATCCGTAAGAAGGTCTCATTCCTGCCTTTCTGATGGCTAAAAACCAGTAGTTGGCCACAAACCAGTAGTTGGCCACAATTTTATGGCCCAATGAAGTCACCTGTCCTGTGATGTCCTGTCCTGGCTGTGAATTTCAGCTGCCACTTGAGGGGAATACACTGGAAAAGAAAAGCTAGCGTCCGATTTTTAATTTTCAATTTTACACCAAGTTCTAGATTAATATATAATGGTTATATGTTAAATTTAATGAAAATCTTTTCAAAACTGGAATTTATAGTTTTGTCTTTAAAATTTTCCCATTGTTCCTATGGCAGCTATATTTATGTATATATAGTCCACCGATTCGCCATGCTCCGATTTATATACTAGTAAAATAATATAGAAGAATAACTCCATAGTTTCATTGAACTAACTACTAGCTCTTAAATTTGTTCCAAAATTAGTCTCGCACTTCTGTGCTTATGATTCCCAACTAGTTCAAACATCCCCGGAACGAAGTGGCTTCTGCCGGCCAAGTCTCAGAAATGTGTTGTGTTTCAAAAGTTGCAAGTCATTGTTTATTAGTGTTCGAAGTTAGTAACTGAACATACATACTTACTGGTCATAGGCACTTACTGTTCAGAGTTAATTAATGTTTATTGATACTTACTGTTCAGAGTTACTTAATGTTCATTGATACTTACTGATCAGAGTTACTTACTGCTCATATTTACTTATTGTTTATAGTTAAATTAAATATCAGCTCGCTGCTCCTCTCTGCCTCTCCCCCTCTTACTCTATGTTAATCGCTCTATATTAATCTCTAGAGGCAACTGCTTCTCTCCCACGCACTCACACTCACTTTCTCTGCTCTTCTCTGCTCTGCTCTTCTCTGCTCTGCTCTTCTCTGCTCTGCTCTTCTCTGCTCTGCTCGGGGACTATAAATAGAGGCGCTGAGGTCGCGCGCGCCTCAGTCTGTCCTAGGGGTACCTAGTGTTAACATCAATAGTGATAGTGCAAGTGATCAACCTTCGACTTTCAAAATATGACGTGGCAAATGAAACACTTCTGGATGACTAGGAAGAAGCTTACTTTGGATGAAGTTACTACACTGAAAGGAAGTAAACAATGACGTGTCCTTTACTGCGGTAAGGAGCTATTGGTGGTATCAGACCTAGGTCTAGACTATATATCCCAATTTAATTCCTTACTCTCTTACTGCTTTGGTCCCCTTTACATACTCAGAAACTTTCTGATATTTTGAGATACTTTAGATACTTACTGGTCATAGTTACTTACTGATCATAGTTACTTATTGTTCGTTGATATTTACTGATCATAGTTTCTTACTGGTTATAGCTAATTGGTGATCATAGTTACTAACTCATCATATTTACTTACTGGCCATAGATAATTACTCTTCAGAGTTACTTACTGGTCATAGATATTTACTGATCATAGTTACTTATTGGTCATAGATACTTACTTCTTATAGATACTTAGTGTTCAGAGTTACTTACTTACTGGTCATAGATAATAACTGAACATGGTTAATTCATGATTATAGTTTTAAATATCGTCCGATCGTTCCTATGGCACTTATATATATGTATATATATAGTCCACCGATCCGCTATGATCCGACTTATATACTAGTAAAATTATATAGAAGAATAAGTTCATAGTTTCATTCAAATTGCTTTTTTTTTGTTCCAAAACTAATCTCGCACTTTTGTGCATATGATTCCCAACTGGTTCTAACATCCCCGGAACGAAGTGGCTTCTGCCGGCCTAGTTTCAGGAATGTGTTGTGTTTCAAAAGTTGCAAGTCATTGTTTATTAGTGTTCAAATTTAGTAACTGATCATACATACTTACTGATCATAGTTATTTACTGGTCATACATATTTACTGTTCAAAATAAATTAAATAACTCAACTTTTATTAAAGAAACATACGTAAAGTTTTTTATTATATATTTAGAATGTTAGTAATAGAATCCTAGATTAACTTTTTAGACTGTGTGAAGCTACTGATTCGATCTCCGGGAATATTGAATGACCCTTGGGCGGGCATTTGTCGTAATACGAACCCGTCAAACTGTGTCAGCAATTCCTATATACATATATATTCTCCAGTACTCATCTTTCTGTTTTTTCGCCTTTTCCCCTTGTGTTCCAGGAATTCGCTCACAACACCATGAACGAGCTGCTCGGATGGTATGGATTCGAGGGTGTGGATGTGGACAGACTGGATCTGACCGCCAAGACGTCCCGCCTGCTGCAGAGTGCTGCCGCAGCAGCGGTGGCCAACCAACAGCAGCAACATCATCACCAGCAACAGCTCCAGCAGGAGCAGCAGCAGCATCTGGAGAGGAAGCGGAGCAGTCTCTTTCGCAGCAGCCGTGCTCTGGCGGCGGCCTATCTCAACAATAACAACAGCAATAGCAGCAGCAACAAGAATAATGGAGCAGGAGGAGCAGCCAGTGGAGCAGGAGCAGGACCAGGAGCGGGAGCGGGAGTGGGAGGAGGAGTATCTGGTAATGGCAGGAAGGCAGGCCTGCAAAATTGCAGCAGCACCACAACGACGCCCTCGGATCATGATACGCGGAGTTCAAGGGAGGAGGACTCTAAGAGTCCCCTCTCCATAGGGAAAACAGCGGGTCTGCCGCATACGGAGGAGAAAATAGGTGCGTATACCGCTACAGAGGCACTAAACTAGACATAGGAATACAAAAAGGGATTTTAGGCTAAATTTATACCCTTGCAGGGTATTAAAATTTCAGTCAGAAGCTTAAAAAGCAGTGGAGGAGTTTTTCCGACCCTTTAAATCATATATATTCTTGATCAGCAACTCTGCATTTACAGGGTTTCATTTATTAGTAATTAAACCTCAAGTCCAAGCAAAAATGGACAGCAAAAGTCAAAATCAAAAATCTCTAACTAACGAAACAAATGAAGGAATCACTAGTCAACCCCTTGATCCCTCTCATCCCTTGAAAGCATCCGCTTGTTTTCGAGTGTTTTGCCTTTGGTGAAAGGGAACTCGATAAGCCCGACTTTTCTGCTCCGGCATAGCCCCTCCCCCACAGCGTCCCCGTATCGTCATCCTCTCCAGCCACGGCAATCATTACGTGCATTTGTAGCCGTACAGACAGGTTGGAAACTTTGCTAACTTTCCATCAAACTCCGGCCGGAGTTTGCCGATGCCTCCTGCATTATCGAATATCAGGATTCATTAAGACCCAAAATATGGTTTACAAAATTCTGGCAGGCAAAATGTGTTGGCAATGGCTGTGAAGGAGGAGGAATGGCTGGGGCCATATTAGGGATTGGATATCCCAAAGCTCAATTTGTACGGCAGCTGGGAAAAATGTTATGGCTCTTCGGCAGGGAGTCAATTTTCATTTAAGATCCTTTGTTAATTCGGGGAATACAATTTAAAGTATTTATTATTGTTATTATTATTAATATTTAAAGAAATTGGAATGAGATTGCTATTGGAATGCCTAAATTTCAATTCCGAAAGCTTTTCTGTGCTAGTTTTGGTTTGCATCCTATTTTCATGTAAACTAAAGACATCCTTATTTTCTTATTTCCCCTCTCCTTCACAGACTTCAGCAACTGCTGCTGGTGCCATCGTCCCATTGCCGAGAATGCACCGGATTACCTGACCAGCAGCGATGGACCCCGCTACTGCTCCGAGTCCTGCTTTGCCCAGAGCCGGCGGGCATCCTTCAAGAAGGCCAAGACCTGCGACTGGTGCAAGCACGTCCGTCATGCTGTGAGCTATGTGGACTTCCAGGATGGCGCCTCTCAGCTGCAGTTCTGCTCGGAGAAGTGTCTCAACCAGTACAAGATGCAGATCTTCTGCCACGAAACCCAGACACACCTAGACCTGCATCCGCATCTGCGGGATCAGGTCCTGGATCCGGGCAGTGAAGCTGGTCTGATAACGCCGGATCTGTGGCTGCGCAACTGCCGGAGTCGATCGGCCTCGCCCGCCTCCACGTTGTCGGTGTCGCCGGGTCCGCCACCGGCAGCTTCTTCCAGTCGGGGTCCGGACTCATCGCCGCCGCCGTCTGCGCCGCCTAGTCATCATCCCAGCAAACCCCTGATCTCAGTGGCGCCAGTCTCCAAACTGCTGGCCCAGAAAAGTCCTGTGCCGGCCGTGGCTCCTCCGCCGCCGCCACCACCGCTCCAGCGACAGTTGGGCTCCAAGTTGGGACGCCGAAAGCGTCAGCATCGAGGTCTCTCCTCGTCGTCGGGCTCGGAAACAGTGGCCAGTTTGCTGCAGAAACAGCAGCAGCACCAGCAACAACAGCAGCAGCAGCAGCAGGCACAACAACAGGCACCTCCAACCCTAACCGCTGACTTTGCCGGCTCCAGTGTTCCCTTGCCTCCCATCTCGCCCATGCCAAATATGCAGGAATCGCCACAGCAACAACAGCAACAGCAGGCACCTCCTGCGGTGCCGCCTCCCCAAGCTCTGCCCCGAGGACCAACCGCCATCCCGGCCAGCTACTTTGCCACGCCCTCGAACGGCGTGCCCATGGGTGGCCATCACTTTGTAGGTCGTCCGCCACCGCCGCCGCATCATTTCCTGCCTCCACCGCCGCATGGCATGATGCCCAGGGGATTTGCTCCGCACTTTGGGCCACCACTTCCTCCGCAGATGCCGGAACTGGGCGCCTTGCTTGGAGGTGTGCCTCCTGTGACAGTGATGGTGCCGTATCCCATTATCATACCTTTGCCCATACCCATACCCGTGCCTCTACCCATCATTGACTTCTACAAGGCCCACCTGACACCCGAGCAAAGTAAGTGTTTCGATGAGGAGCAGGCGGCGTCATCCAGGAGAGAAGAGGAGGCAAACCAGGGTGAATCAGAGCAACCACAGCCGCTGGACTGCAGTAGCAGGGCAAAGAGCGAACAGGAGCTGGAGCTGGGCAGGCAGGAAGAGGAGGCCCCACCGGAGCCCCAAGAAGACAAGTCATCTGACAAGGAACAGAACGAGGAGCAGAAGGAATCCATACCAAAGACAAATCCAGATATAGACACCACGCCCGCATCGCCGTCTTCCGTCTCGCCAGAGTCGTCGTCCTCCTCGCTGGAGACGCACTGCATCGTGCGTGACTCCCCACACTCCGATCCCGAGGTGGACGGCCAGAAACTGCCCAAGCTGAAGATCACGCGGCTGCAGACAAAGCGAACCCTAATCCAAACCAAAGAGGCGGCCGCCGAGTGCAGTCGACCGCTGCGCAAGCGCAAGAGGATCATTGACTGTGACTTTCAGAAGATGGCTGTCAAGGAGCTGGAGGACAGTGAGGCGAACAGCAGCAAGGAGACAGAGGCAGATGCCGAGTGCAATATGACTAACAATGGCAATGCTAAAGCTAAAAAGTAGACTTAGACCCCTAGGATATATCCTTATTTAGTTGTAGAATCTATTTATGTGAGAAAGAGGAAAACAGAGAGAAAAGAAGGAGAAAGAGAAAGAGTAGGCACAAAGTGCACGGAGGTAAATCTCTGGATTGAATCGAAATAAACTAAAGTATATAACTTATGAGAGGGCAAAGGCTTTCATTTTCAAATCATTTATTTTGCAAAGATACAAATACCCTTCGTATTTTCCATAAAACTGATTAATAAACACTTCACATTTCATTCAAAAATAATCCTTATTCAAGGAAAATTCAGCCATAAAAATCCAATCAAAATTCAGTAACGCTTTTCTGAAACAGAAACTGCAGTCCGGGGCTTCTTATAGGGGAAGTTCTACTTAAAGGTAAAGCTATATAAAGGATTTCCAAACCGTTGCAGTCTTTGCTCAGTTGTAGAGGTCCCACAGCGATATCTGGCTGTCCATGCCCGCTGCCGCCATGATGGGTGCCTGCCACATGGCCACCGCCTTGCTGGAATAAGCCAGATCCATTACGCCCCCCTGCTTGTGTTGCGTGAGCACGGCCAGCGGTCGGAGGCTCTTCCACGAGAAGATTCTTATGCGTCCATCCCAGCCGCCGCTGGCAAAGACCTTCTGATCGTTACGGATGCGGACACGATTGACGCCCGGATTCTTGATGCACAGCTCTGAGCCGCGCTGCAGCTGCATGGCGGGTCGCTGGTAGCTAAAGGTAATAAGTTTGTCAGCTGAAAGGGAAGAGGATTAAGTTAGTTAAGAAATTAAATATATAATTTAATATATACTCACAGGCTCCTCCCACAATGCCTCGATTGGTCACCGGGTCATAGTCAACAGTCATGGCATCGGTAGCCAGTTCCAAAACATCCAAAATAACACCAGAGGTGAGGTCCCAGGTCAGAAAGTGACCCGATTCGTAGCCCGCCAGCAGGAACAGCTGCGAGGCGCACTCGAACGGCTTGAAGCAGGTGACACTACCTAGTTTGGGCAGCTGAGCATCCTCCGGTACTAGCATCTGTGTGGGAGCCGATGCATCCGTCACATGCAACACTCCGATGGACGAATCCTCGCAGGGATAGAAGAGCAACTGCTCGCTGGTGTTGCTGGTGCTCGTGTGCAGGGCTGAGCGGCAGTAGCCCAGGTGGTTGCCTGGTATACTCCGGTCTTTTACGTAGCTGCTGCCGCCAATGGAGAACATTGTGATGGTGCCGCCCTTCTCCTGCGTCACCAGGCGATCAGGTGTGTGATGCAGGCTGGTTATGGGATCGGAGCCCACCTCAAAGTGCAGAGCAGAGCGATTGGTCTGGTAAGGACAGGAGTTTTATCAATTAATTTAAATGTATTGATCCAGAATGTCTTTAATCATGAACTATAGTTAATTTCTGGAATATTTACCTGTAGATCCCAAAGGAACACACTGCCTTTCAGAGTTCCTGCCAACAAACGATCGTTGTCTTGAAAACACAGCGAGTTTACGGCTCCCATATCTGGGGAACGCAGGCTGAATACGGGATCTGGTGGTAGCACAGCCATATTTTCGGTTATTTCTTAATTAAATTAACTAAAAACAAGGTTTGTTTTGTTTTGGTTCTCGTTGTCAGCTGATGACGATAACGATAGCGATTCCGATATTTCCACCATCGTAATAGAGTTGCCACCTTATTAAGCTGTTATCTCTAGTTGCAATAAAAACCCTCTAGAGGGCGTGTGCTCTTACCATCATATCAAATGAAATTTAGTGGCAAGTACCAATAAAAGTCAGCTTGCTGTGGAATGTCCCGAGACCTTCCAGATTGGCTCCAGCCTTCTAATTGGTAACCGTACTTCTGAATTAACGCATATTTAATGTGAAATGAATGTATAAAATGAATGTGACGATAGCAAAAGAGCTGCAAACGTGATTGGCTGTTATCAGAAGTTGCGCTAAGACCCGCCAGGGGGCGACACGCTCTTGGTGCGTTCTTACCAAACAAATTCAAATAAATTCTCTCAAGCAGTTACCAAATGCGGAATTACTTTTGTGTTAGTAGCTTAAAATTTACACCAAAATAACATTAAGTCGATAAATGCTCGTGGACTATTAATAAACGTGTTCGTCGAAGGCTTAAAGCGGCCTTAAATGGACTTTGTTAGTAGCGGTCTCCGGTCTCTGGTCTCTCAATGTGGCCTAGACGTTAAGGCCCGAGAATCGTAAAAGACTTGTGTCAGCGCACTTGGCCCGAAAGATTGCGAGCGCGCGAAGGAAACAGCCCGAAATACAAAGATCGCAAAATAAACATGCCATAAGCTCGTTAATCAATGCTAAGTTGACAGTTTTAAGTGGCTTTAGCGAGGGCAACCACACCAACGAAGCCAGCGGAAGACTCCTGTTGTGCCGCAGGCTCAACCCGCATGATTTACGTGTGTTCCCCCAAAAAAATGCGCTATATTTTAATTGAGTTTTGGAATTCATTTGAATTTGTTTAATAAAAGTAAAAAAAAATGGTAGGTTAAATCTGTTTTGGATTAAGTAAACATGAATTTGGATTAGGAAATCCTAATTATTTTGAGAAAAAGGTGTTAATAAACTAAAATAGTTCATTTTTATGTATCATTATATGAACTTATATTTTTCTCAGCCACATTCCGAGTCACTGCAACAAGTTAACGTTTTTCCCACTCCAGAAAACCCCTTAGTAAACGTTCAAAATGCGGCTACAAGTTCATTTAACGGCTGAGACAATCATAAAAAAGGGTTAAAGCCTGCATATGGTCATTCCAGCTCATTTGCTTTCGTCTCAGTTAATTTTTTTGTCTCCTACAGGATGAGGGAGGGAGGTGAGGCAGAGGTAGCTGAACGACAAGTCCATAAATCTTTTTGCCACAGAACCAGCCACGAATCCCCGATGAGGATGAGGATGAGGATGAGGATGAGGATGTGAGGCGTTTAAGCTATTTATGCATGTTGGGTAATCCATTTGAAATGGGTCAACGACTACGGGCGAGCGCATAAAACTCCTTAAACGTTTCCAATAGCCCAGCCCAGTTCGAAGTTGAAGAGAAAAGAATAAGGAGCAGTGTTGCCAGGTGATGAGCGCCCATATAAGCTAGATTTAAAAAAAAAATAAGCTAGAATAAGCTAAACAATTTTTAAAAAATGCGAAAAAACAAGCTACACCCAAATATGAGAAAACACGAAACATATAATATATATTATTATATTATATGAATATGTTATTATTAAAGAAAGTCTTAAAAATATGTTTTTAAAGTAAGCACTTAAAACAAATTAGTTAATATTTCATCAATTCCTTCATGTTGTTCGTCGCCGAGTGTTCGGCAATAAACAAACAAAGCGCTGCTTCCTGATCCTGAGTCTTGCAACACTTAGCCGGAAAATTTATTTTTTGCGATTCAGCAACTGATCTCATTGATAAAATGTGCTTTTTCGATGCCGCATGCTGCCTGATTTCAAAAATTTTGGCTGATATTGTCGACTTACAGTAGCAACAATATGCTTTGGTTCCTTCTCCTGGCACTTAAATTCGTTGTTTTGGAGCCAAGCATCCCGAAAAATCTTTTTATATATAACTTTCGGCATTTTGAGGACACGCTTTACCTATTTTCACAACACAACAAAATTATTGGTGGTAACACTTCAGCCAACAAATCGATCTCCGATGACACTTTCGATTAGAAATAAGTTCACGATCACATAAAATGCACATAACCATCGGAAAAAAAGAACAAACTCCAATATTTTCATGCTATAAAGCATATTTTTCGTAAAAAACATTCCGTGGATGTCAAAAATACATAAAAAGCTAAAATATGCTAGATGAATTTTAAAATAAGCTATATTTCAAGCTATAAGCTAGATGGAAATTTTTCAAGCTTTTCTAGTTTCAAATATGCTAGAACTAGCTTATAATAAGCTAACCTGGCAACACTGATAAGGAGAAACATATTGGCTTGTTACCTTAATGAAGTCATAAATTTTCGCTATCGCATTCGGGGCATCTCGGAGAGCCAGCCCCAGTTCCACATTCGGCGTGAGCCCCGGAGCTACAGGTTTCTAAGGAATTCCATTTTGGGGGATAGAATAAGATCGGGGATACTCTCCAGAACCAAGTGTTTTGGCACACATACGCTCTCTGCGATCGGATAGTTAATCAGGCTTATGCTGATATACGCTGACAGAGTCACTCTCTGGTGTAGGCCGCCACTTTCGCCCGGGATCGGTATGGGGAACAGATCGAGGTATCAAGGTATCAAGGTATCAAGGCATCCAGGAATCCTGGCATCCAGGCAGTGGGTCTCCCGCTGGGCGAGTATTCCGCGTATTTGCAAGGAGGACTACTATGAAAATGAAGTTATCACGCGACAAACAATGTGGCCCTGCCGCTGCCACCAATAACTTTATATGGTTGTCATTATTAGTCTGAAATTAAATGGATTCGTCGGCCACAGAGGACGACACTCTGGCCGACTTATTTATGTGCTACCTTAATGGAGCCTCCATCTACTCGAAATTGAGACGGCAATTTGCTATGGGATACCTGGGAGGGGGTTCTTCTCCTTCTCGTGTTGAGTTTTTATTTCGCATTACTGTGCACTGACCATGAATCACTTTATAGGAAAGAAGGTAGCGTCCAGGGTCTAGGAAGATCTCCGGAAATCAATCCTTGGGGCGAAGAGGAGTTTCTGGGATTGCTGGAATTTCAGGAAGCCTCATAATAAGATGACAAATGGTAAAGGAGTTCTGGGAAGAAGGGGTTTTATGGGACTAATGTTTGGGTCTAAGGTGGTTTTATTTATAATAAAATTCATAGGTAAATTGGGAAGCTGAAAAGTTTAAAGTATCAGTATAAAGTATTTATTATGTTAACAAATCTGCATACTCAATTTGAAATTTAAGTAAACTTCCTTTCTGGTTCGATTATTATTTAAACATTACCTTATATTTGATTTATTATTCGATTATTTTCTTAATATAATTTTTAATTTACTTTAAGTGATTTCACCCCCAAGCTTTCTTTTATTTTATTTAGAAAGTGATGCAATCCAGTGAGGCTTCAGAAATGCATTTGTAGAAATCCAGTTCGAACCCCGGGAATGGATTCCCCAAAAATATATATAGATGGAAACCACGGACCGGGCGCAATCAATTAAAATATCGACGTCTATCAGCATTATTATAAATCAAACGATAACATAGAATTGACACTAAAGGCGTTTCGCCCATTTTTCAAAACGACGGACAACGACGACGACGACGAGATTAAGGCCTCGGATATGGCATCCACCAGCCTCGGTGGCCAAACTTAGATGGCGATGGCGATGGAGATGGAGTCACATTTTGTTTTATTTTTTTGGGGCATTTTCAGAGCTGGCGTCTGAACTTTGCTACGCATTTATGCAAATTATCCCCAGCCGAAGCGGGAAAAACTGGTCCACGAAAAAAACGGCAAAACGCAAGGCGAAGCGAACGAAGTGCTCTCTGTAATTGATCAATTTCCGCCGCTGGAGCCAGAGACCGGATCGGATCGAATCGGATTGGATTGGATTGGATTGGATCGCTCCGAGAAGTGAGAAGTTGGCAGACCCGCAGGTTGCCCCGATCGGTTTAGATTCGATAATGTGATGGCCACTTGATCTTGGTCTGATTTATGGACTTCGACGGGGGTTTGGCTTCGCTAATGAAATGGCTCTTTAGATTAAGTATTCCGTGTGTGCGTGTGTGTGCACCCACCATATACCGTAGATAGGGTCATTCATGGCGAGTTATGACACCTGTGCACCCACATCGGACATTCCACTTGATTGGCCCCAACGATGACGACGACTCTCGGTCCGCTCCAGCAATCAGACGCACTCAGCAAAAGTGCCAATCAAGCGCAGGACGACGCGTCAACAAAGGATGCGCTCGTCTGCCGGTAATCCTGGGTGTGAACGGACCTCGGAGGACGCAACACCGATGGATGGATGGAAGGATGGATGGCCTGAAATCGAAACCTTGTCGCTGGGGTGTCAATAACATTGTCCGAGCGAGTGCCTCCGGGCACGATTGTTGTCGTTGTTCTGGTTGATGATGTGAATGCGTTTTCAGCTCCATTGAACTGGCAGAAGGTAAAGGTGGAGGCTGCAGGTAGAGGAGCAGGGCTCAGGCCCTGCCACAGTGGACTACAGATGCTGGGAATTAAACTAAGCTTATTTTGGATTTATGATTATTAAGAAGACTGTATATAAGTTAACATTAAAGTAACTTAACTTAAATATTGTATTAAAAGTCTTCAGAACGTTTTTGAAGTACGCAATGTCTGCAGACCATTTAAATCTTTTACTTTTCAGAATTTATACAGTTTTATTTGTGCTCATGCTTAATATTATTATATTAAACTACAAAATAGTATATGCGATTCAACCTTTCATTATCATATTGCCCCACCGTTGGTCTGAAATTCCAATTTAATTGCGTGAATCAAAGTTGTAAATCATTATGCTAAGTGCCCTTTAATGTCTCAAAATGCAGCTCATTTGCAAGTGCAGGTTCCTGAGATCCACGGCAAGTTACAGTATCGAATGCCCTCGGGCACAATCATCTCGTCTCGAAGAGGAACCGAACGAT